AGGAGAACCCTCCAGAAGCAGAGTCCCCTCCAGCTGGCTGCGGCATAGGAGCCGGGGACATGCATGCCATTTGGCCCGGAAGAAATCCAGGGTAGATGCCGTGACATTCCTAGGGAGGGGGCCATAAGGCAAGGAACTGTGGGAGATCTCTAGATGCCGACAACAGTTCTCAGCTCACAGCTAGCAGGGAAACAAGGCCCTGAGTCCTACAACCGCAAGAAACTGAATTCTGTTAATGGCTGGTGATCTTGGAGAAAGAGCCCCACGCCCCAGATGAGACTGTACCCTGGGTCAATACCTTGATTCCAGCCCTGTGAGACCCTGAGCAGAGAATCCAGCCACACTGTCCCTGAACTTCTGACCTTCAGAAACTATGAGATCACAACCTTGTATTGCTTTAGGCCACTAAGTTTGTGATAATTTATTGTGCGGCAATAGAACACTAACATAGCACAAAAAGAAAAAAAAATTACATACAACTAACAAATGAGCAGTTAGATGATTTTGTTCAAAGCCCAGGCACTCCCCTCCACCCTGCCACATTACAGATAGATTTTTGACAATGACAAAGGTAGTACAAAATGCCCTCAGTTCAGAAAAAAAAGAAACGTCATTGGCCACGCCAAATGTTCTGTACTTACCAGCGTCCCTGGCGGGGAAGGCTGGGCTGCCTGACCCAAAAGCGGCAAGTCTGGGGCCTCCCGGGCTGGTTCATAGGGTCAGTGAAAGGGTTGGGTGATGTCCAGCCTAACCTGGCACAGCCACCTACCGGTGTGCCCAGACCTTTGACCTACACTCAGTTCCACTTCAAAGACCTGCCAGAAATTGGCAGGGAGTTTTAGGACCCAGGGATCAGAGCTCTGGGATTTATTGAAGCAGATAGAAGGCAAAGAGCGAATGGTTAAGAGCTCTGGTCTCGCTCTCGGCATTGAACTCTGGTATTACCACCTTCTGTGTGAGATTTTGTAAATTCCTTAACCCCTCTGTGCCCCCACCTGTCAAGTGGGGATAAGAGTTGTGAGGGTTTGAAGTAAGGCTTAGAAATCGCGGATACAGAAGACAATGGGGGAAGGGAAGAAAAAAAAAAAGAAAGGTTAGAGAGGGAGGGAGCTAAAACATAAGAGACTCTTAGAAACTGAGAACAAACTGAGGGTTGATGGGGGGTGGGAGGGAGGGGAAGGTGGGTGGGGGGCATTGAGGAGGGCACCTGTTGGGATGAGCACTGGGTGTTGTATGGAAACCAATTTGACAATAAATTTCATATTAAAAAAAAAAAAGAAATCACGGATACCTAAGGCCTAGCCATTAGCAAGCCCTCTAAAATGGGAGGTGGTATTTAATTGCTTTTAGTGTTGCCTGGGTCTTATACCTGAGCCCTAATCTGAAGCTTTCATATCATTAATGCCCAACACCCGTTCTCCACAGCAGACAGCTGAGCACATCTTGGTCCCTTGCTTCTGAGCCCCGAGTGTCTGCTTAATGACTAACCACTCCAACCTGGTACACGGAGTACCAGACTGTGTCAATCAACCCCAGCACAAACCCAGAGTAAATCAATTGTCCTTCCCTGCCTTCCCCTTCCTGCTTGCTTTTTTCATTAGAACTAGAATGAAACTGACAATAGGAGACGGGGCTACAATAAAGATGTGTTAAGTCTGCCCTCTACAACCAGACACAGTAATTACCGTTTTTATGTTTTTATGTCTTAAATGTGTATTTATTTAGTCTTGAGAGCGAGTGAGTGGGGGATTGGGGCAGGGAGAGAGGGAGACAGAGAATCCCAAGCAGACTCCGCACTGTCTGTGCAGAGCCTGACCCGGGGCTCGGACACATGAACTGCGAAATCATGACCTGAGCGGAGATCGAGAGTCGGACACTTAACCGACTGAGCCACCCGGGTACCCCAATAATAACTATTTTTAAAAGATGGTTTCATGAGGCTAAAAATTTACATCCCTCATTCATGAAGGTGGGGGGGGGAGTCTATTGAATGTCACCGAACCAGCTTTGATGATAGAATTTACGTGGTTGTCCCATATTGTGATAAAGTGTTCAAAGGTATATACCACTTATACATATAACCACATCTAGACTCATAAAAATAGACTTTCTATTTAAATCGAATCTCCTTTCTGAGCATTGCTAAGTGAGGTAATTTGAAATCTTCCCAAATTGCAACGAGCGTGGTATTTTTCCCATTTGTGGAGATGACCATCTATTATATGGATTTGCAAATTGGCTAATTGTCTGGAAGATTTAAGAAGAAAAATGCTGTTCTAGTAATTCTGTACAGTCCTGTACTCAGAGGATTTGGCTGAGGGAAGATTAACATAAGCAAGAATCTGTCCAATACATTTTAAATGAGAAAGCAGGCTATTTTTTAAGCCAATGTTTTCAAAAAGAAAACTATAGCAAAGCACCTACAGTTCCTTACCCCTAACAGGTGATTCCCCCGACTAGAGTGTTAAGATCCAGAAAAATCAATGTAATATCTTGGCCTATCTCCTTCACTGTGGCTACCCTGGGGTCTCGAATAGTGCCTGACAGACACAGGCCCTAAATATTTCCCGAATAAATGAATTAACGAAATTACGTGAATTAGCAAGGGGCAGGATGCTGGCCAAAGTCTGTCTGAATTCTGAGCAGTTATAAACGTCAACACGATCAGATCAAGAAGGCAAAACAAAAGAGCAGGGAAGTGAGGTTCTGTAAAGTCACATGTGCCTTTTTGGGTCCACTGGGAGGGAAGAAGGAAACGCAGTGTCCATGGAATCTATCACTACAAAGTTTTTGTTCCTGAATGGAAATTTCCAGAGCCTATGTTGTAAACCTTCTTACAATGGGCCATTTATTAAGGAGCAAGCCTTCTGCTTAAGCGACTATGTGCCAGCGGCGCCACCTGCTGGGTAGCTAGCTGGGCATTTTAGAACAATATTCTAGAGGGGTTTTTTTTCTTTATTTTTTTCAGAAAGCAAATTGAATTTAGAACCACAGAAATTACATCGGACATATCTTTAGAGATAATCTAGGCCCTGTGTCATCTTACAGGTAAGGATTTGCCTTAAGTAGGTACATTTTCTTTCTTTCTGTTGCTACAATGGAGCCCCAAATCTCTCTCTCCGGGAGAAGACACGCTACAGCCATCCTTACTGAATTGTATCACGGGTCTCATGTAAATCAGAAACCGAAAGGCAGTTACAATCCATTCGTGAAGCATCTAAGAGTGCTGTCCAATGGTAATCTCTGCAACAATGGGGTAGAACTTTCTGCAGTGATCTATATCTGTGTGTGCTGTCCAATACAGTAGCGTACAAAACACCTGATGCGTGACCAATGACACCGAGGATTGGGTTTTTATCTGATTTTCATTAATTTACCTTAAAAAAATAGCCACCTATGGCGAGTGTGGTTTTTCTCAACCCTGGCGCTGTTTACATTTTGCACTGGATCATTCTCTGCTGTGGGGGTTGTCCTGTGCACTGTAGGCTACTTTCACAACGGCCCTGGCCTCTACCTACTGGATGCCAGCAGGACGGCCGCAGAGGCGGGACGACCAAAAAAGTTTACAGACATGCCCCAGAAATGTCCCCTAGTGGGCAAGACCACGCCCTGTTGAGAACCACTGGGGCTAATGGCTACTGTATTGGACAGCATGGTTCTAGAATATGCCTAACATGTATGTGCCACACTTTGAGAAAAAGAAATGGCCCCTACGCTGTGGTACAGCAGTTGTGGTTTTGTCATAAGAGGGAAGCTTTAGAAAGAAAAGTCAGGGGCACCTGGGTGGCTCAGTTAAGCGTCGAACTTTGGCTCAGGTCGTGATCTCACGGTTAGTGAGTTCGAGGCCCACGTCGGACTGTCTGCAGTCAGCACAGAACCCGCTTCAGACTCTGTGTCCCCCCACCCTGTCCCTCTCCTGCTGGTTCTCTCTCTCTCTCTCTCAAATCAAATAAACAAACTTGGGGGCGCCTGGGTGGCTCAGTCGGTTAAGCATCCGACTCTTACTTTCGGCTCAGGTCGTGATCTCACGGTTCCTGAGTTCGAGCCGCACACTGGGCTCTGTGCTGATGGTGCGGGGCCTGCTTGGGAATCTGTCTCTCTCTCTCTCTGCCCTTTCCCTGCTTGCATGCTCTCTCTCTCTCTCAAAATAAATAGATAAAACTTAAGAAATGAATACATAAATAAACGCAAAAAAATGTTTTGTTCATCTGAAAACAAATTTTTTTTAAAAGTCAGGTGTAGACAAAGAAATCTCTTTCTTCTTCTCCTCCTTGCCACGCAACAGGGACGGAACCAAGACAGCAGTGGCAACAACTTCTGCCTCAGACGAAAGTCCCCAGGTTAGCCTCCGAAAAGCCATCCCGGCGTCTGGCTTCCTCGAACCCACTGTGAGTCAGCGGACAAGCTGACCGCCCCGAGTCTCTGCGTCTCACCTGCAGAAGGGTAGAGGGGGAGGGGCGCCTGGGTGGCGCAGTCGGTTGGGCGTCCGACTTCAGCCAGGTCACGATCTCGCGGTCTGGGAGTTCGAGCCCCGCGTCGGGCTCTGGGCTGATGGCTCAGAGCCTGGAGCCTGTTTCCGATTCTGTGTCTCCCTCTCTCTCTGCCCCTCCCCCGTTCATGCTCTGTCTCTCTCTGTCCCAAAAATAAAATAAAATAAAAAAAAAAAGAAGGGGGGGTACCCACCTGGCAGGGCTGCTGTGAGGGCTGAATTAGCGCATTAAGCGGTCCTAGCTCAGTGCTCAGCCGCAGTCGAGGTTCAAACGACAGCTGTTCTTTTGGCCACCCTGTTGGGGGGGGGGTGGGCAGGGGGGTGTCCTCACGCCTTCCAACCCATAACACAGAAGTGCCCAGCGTGTTGCCATCGAAGATAAAAATCGAATGGACACCAAGTTAGCCAAGCTTCATAAACCTGGATTTATTTCACAATGCCGGTGGCCACAACATTCAACCACATTCGTGTGCGGCCTGTGATATCCCCCAGAGATTTTGAGATATCTCATTTACATGTGCAGGAGAAAACGCTTCAGCTCCTCTGGGAGAAAGAGCTCGTTGATCTTATGATGCTGCTGGATTCCGAAGCACTTCCGGATTTGAAGGCGGCACAGCTGCAGCAGAGAAGGAGGCCCTGCAGAGAGACGGCGAGACAAGCCACACGTTGGTGCCAGCGACCCAAGACTACTTGCTTTTCCTCCTTATACAGCACCCGAGCCGCACCAAGGTCACAAGGAGATAACGCCGCTCTCCCGAAGACCATGTTCTGGTCTTGGGGGGGGGGGGGGGGGGGGGGGGGGAGGGCAGCATTTTTAGGCCATGGTCTCTCTTACCCGCAATCTCATGCAAATGAGCTTGTTAGGTTTTGATTTAGAAGAGACTGGAAAAAAAAAAAAAGTCAAAGCCTACTCCCGCTAATGGAGGCCTAAGGCAGCTAAGTCTGGAATGACGAAGCCGCACAAAATTCCCCAGGATGGAGAGAAAATTCATGTTTAACAGCTTCCTTGTATTTTTACCTTAAGAAAAAAGATAGGGTATTTCGAGATGTGTATTTTTATAATTTAGCAGTTTCGGGATATTCAAATAAAGTGAGTGATCAGTGAGGCCCAAGTAAGTGTATGTTACCTGAGTTAAGTCATATTTGTTTTTTTTATTCTGCGTTCAGGGCTAACCCGATGCCAGCACAAACCTGGCACGGGGAACCAGCCAAGAGTTTACATTTCAGGACAGTGGTTCTCAACAGGGGGCTGGGGGGGAGGGGAAAAGGAGGGGACAGTTGGCAAAGCCTAGAGACACTTCTGTTTGTCACAACCTGGGGGAGAGGCGCTACTAGCAACTGGCTGGTAGAGACCAGAGAGGCCGCTAAACACCATATGGTGCACAGCACAGCCCCCACCTGGCCCGAAACGTAAACAGAGCTGAGGCTGAGAAACCCCGTTATGGAGTAAAAGGGTGGGGAACAATTTCCCACCCCTCCCCCACCCCCTGCACCAAACTGTAATGGGAATTGTGCTTTGCTTATCAAACACACACAAAAAAGCCAAGCTATGCACCGTCAAGAATCCCAGAAGGCAGTGGCCCTCAATCCAGGATGCATTTTAGAATCACCTATCCGGGGAGCTTGAAACCACACGGTGTTGGGTCCTACCCCAGAGGTGGTGCATCAGTGAACGTTAGGTGGGGCCTGTCCATCTGGCTTTTTTAAAGGCACGTGCCCCAGGTCATCTTATTGTGCAGCCAGGGTTGAGAACACACGCAGAAAGATCCAGAGGCCTCGGATTTCCTATGGCGTCCCTACAAGTCTGTTGCCTGTTTCTCAGGTGATGGAGAAGGACAGGTGGAAAGAGCCGCACGCACCATCAACGAAAATGAATGCGGGATTTTCAAGCGGGACCTCGCGGCACACTCCGAAGGCCCCCGTCGGGATTGAGGGAACCTTCCAGACTACGTTCAGTGCCACTGGAGCCATGTACTAACGAACTGCTTCCCAGCGCGCGCGAGGCACACATTAACAAGCGGCAGAAAGTACACTGTGGGGAAACTGAACTTCGGTTCACCTCGTAAAGGAATGGTGAGGGACGTGACTAATCACGTGTGCTAGACACGCTGTCAGGAACGGCTGGAGGAGGAACCGATAAAGAACTGTTGGACGATGCAGAAAAGCGGGACATCGGAGTTAGCTCAGTGCAGCTACCGACACCAATCGAATATCTGCCGTTTACTGTAAGTAGGATGACGTACAACTGCAGCCTTCATTCCATAAAGCACTGGCACCTGCGAGCGTTCCAGCAGTTTGCTTTGCTCAGTAATAAAACCAGCTAATTTCTCTCTGCGAACTATCTGTCGCTCTGGGTCTCGATTTCTTTTTTTCGCCCAGCAACACTCACGCTTCACACGATGCTGTACAGCGAAAGTAATGTGGGGCGTGGCTCCTGTCGCACTGGGCTGACCGGCATTTTTTTTTGTTTGTTTTTAGTTTTCCTTGTGCGCCATGAGTAAACACTGCTTTAGACGCTTTTCAAGGCGGGTGGGGTGGTACTATTCCTGAACTCCTTTCCAGGGACATCCAGAGACAGAATCTGCTGTGTTAGAGCTGCAGGTCTGGCCTTCTGTGCCTGCCTGGCCTCATTTCCTGTGGGCTTCCAGGCTGCTGAGAGGGGCAAATGACTCCGAAAATGACTCATGGAGGCAAAAGCAGCAGTAATTCTCTCCAATGACAAATGACATTTTACAAACCAGCGGGATCATCGATCACACCGTCACCAAAATGTAATCAAAGGAATGAAAGGCAATGTAGGAGCCTACGAATGGGCTTAGGGACAGAAAGTGGAAGGAAGAGCCTGTGGACGTGATCGGAAAATCTGCTGGGATTATTTGCTGAGGCAGATGAGGGGATTGTGTGCGTGTGTGTGTGTGTGTGTGTGTGTGTGTCTATGTACATGACTTGGGGACTTTAGGGGCCCAGGAGGCCCTTCTGCTTTTGTGGCCCTCTTTCCCAATGGGGAAAAAAAAAAACAACGGTATTTTACAACTGTGTGGGTATAAAGACAAACACAATCCAGGTTGAGTTTTATCCATTTTTTTCCTTCAGATTTGAAAAGGAATTACAACATTTCTGTGGGTCCCTAAAAACATCATGGGCCCCAAGCATAGTGCGGTCTGGACCTGCTGGAGAAGCAGGCCTATAGATAGATAGATAGATAGATAGATAGATAGATAGATAGATAGAATTTTTTTGAAAAAACAAATCACCAAAACGCAGGTAGAATGGCCTGGCGATCACCCCGCTGCCTAATGTAAAGGGGTCTCTATTGAACCGTTCCTTGCGCCCGGGGCCTGGCCTTCCCTAGCCCGCTGACGCTGCTCAGAGAGTACAGGCCTTGTCTGGGGGGCCCTGAGGCAGGTCTTTGGCTGCAAGTACCCGGGGCAATCGGAGCGGCGGGAAGGATTTGGCGGCCGCGGTACGATTCTGCACAGAGCTAGGCCCAATGCTCAGCCCGCGAGGAGAATATAACCGGATGACACGCCGTCAGAGCTCTTCTCCCAGGGCGGCCACATGCAGGGTCCCACAATCCCGAAAACTTAACAAAGTGCACACTCTGGTGAAAAAGTAGGTCCTGAGCGGGCCGCTCTCCATTTCCAGGGACAACTGTGAATGCCAGGGGAGGAGGGGTCTCTGCGCCCCACCCCAGCCCACAGCCCTACCCCCTTGCACGGCACTCAGTGACAATGTTTAGTTGTTTGGGTCCAGAGTGCTGGTTCTCATTTGTGAAGGAGTGTGGACTCAGTGGTCCCTGACATATAACATTAAGTGTCTCATCACCAATGAGCTGCCTTCTTGCCCCCACAAACCCGGCGCCCCGTAGCCTGGCCCATCTGTAGAGCAGTGAGGCATCCAGGGGCACGGTCCAGCCCCAAAGAGGGTTCCACTGCATCATTCTAAAGTATGTTTTAGGTAACTTTAATATCAAACATTTTTTAATGATATGTTAATGCTGTCAAAGCTGGCCTACCCCATATCTGAATACTCTATCACCCAAGATAGCCTGTCTCCAACATCGCAAACGACAGATGGTTCCTTACTACATAGCCGGTACCGTACCTTGTCGAATACTAGATTCTCTCAGCACCCCACAATGGGGGATGGCAGAGAACGGTCTCTCACACGGTATCAGAAGTCAGAACTCGGTAAGTACCTGTCTCCCGCTAGAGCCCGCAGGAGTCTCTACGGATTAGGGCCTAGGCTCGGGCAAGGGGGAAGCACCTTCACGCTCCAAGAAGATCTGAGTCAGAGGGCTCTCTGGAGGCACCAACTCCAAGGGACATCTGCCATCAGCGTTCCTGGCCTGGGGGTTCGCTCCAAAATCCATGAGCAGGATGGCCAGCTCCCCATTGGATGCCCTGGCCGCTGCGTGAAGAGGGGAGTCCAGACCTCGGCCTTCGTTCACACTTGCTCCTGTGCCGTCACAAGAAGAACGGAGAGTCAGCCAAGAAGCCAAGTCCCAGCATCCCCCTCCTCAAACGACTGTGCCGCAAAAGTCCTTAACCAAAGGGCGTCTGCTGTGTGCAGGGCAGTTCCGCAAAAATGGGCATGACTGGAATCCGTTTAACAATACGGGGAAGATGCCATCTGACGATGTGACTGACGGCACAACAATGAGCTATACTGCACATGAGGCTTAAAACCTTGCCTTTGGGGCACCCGGGTGGCTCAGTCGGTTAAGCGTTCGACTCTTGGTTTGGGCTCAGGTCATGATTTCATGGTTGGCCAGATCGAGCCCCGTGTTGGGATTCTCTCTCCTCCCTGTGCCCCTCCCCCTACCTCAAAATAAATAAATAAACTTCAAAACAAAACACCTTGCCTTTGAGTGCTATACATAGGTGTGTTACATACAACAAGAATCCTGGTGGTGTGAAAGCTGCACGTTCACTATTAAAGGAGTGTAAATATTTGTACAAACTGGAAGTGAGGCCAGACGGTGAAATCTCATCTATACCGAGTACCATATTCACACACTGAGCAACTGTTATGGGGTGTAAAACCCAGGACCTGGGACTGTGTGATATGGACTGTAAACAGCAACTAGCTTGTGAGGGCATCTCATAGAACAAGATGGCCAATTCCAAGGTCACAGGAAAGATGGCAAAGTCCTCCTCTTCAGGAATGAGGTGGATTTCTAGGCCCATCCCAAGCCAATCCTGTCTCTACAGTCTCTACAAATCCCCACCCCAGCTGGATGCCGGCTCCCACGGGGACACATGGAGACCTGTGGTTTTGCCTGAGCTGCTGCCCCTCTAGTAAAATGGGAAACTACGTCCACTCAACAAATATTAACTGGATTGAACAGATATTAACTGGATTGTTCCCGTATTGTTCTTGGCTTTGTGAGGGATGTGAAACCTCGCCCTTTCCTGAGAGCTTAAAATCTACCTAGAGCATTATGGGAGAGGGAGGGAAAAAGAGAGGGAGAGATAGAAAGAGAGAGAAAGAGAGAGAGAGAGAGAGAGAGAGAGATGGAGGCAGAAAGAGAGAGAAAATAAGAATCAATCTTCTAACTCATGGCAATGGCCGCCAAATGAGTAGAAGGCAACAACAACAACAAAAAACGTTAAGAACATTCGAGGGAAGGGAAAGGTTACTGGAGTTTTGAAGAATAAGCAGGACTCAGATAACTACAGGGGTGATGAAATGGGTCTTCCAAGGTTGAACAAGAGACTGGACAACAGCAGGGAGGTGAAAAAGAAGGGTACTACATAGGCCTTGTTGAGGATAACAGAAGATTTACAATGAGCTACAAACGGGACAGGTGGAATTTCCGGATCCAAGCACACTGGTGAAGGAGGCCCTGGGGGGAAGACCCAGGCCTGGTCCAGCAGCTGTGGGAGTCAGCAGGGCTAAGAACGTGCCTGCGCACTGTGGAGGGAGGTGGCCGAGGGGAGGGAGGAGAAGCAAGGACCACCCTGGGAGGAAATACTATCATCATCGTTATCCGCATTACAAGGGAGACAATGAACATTCAAACAGGTTCAAATATTTCCCCACGGGAACACAGTCACCGTGAACCCTGATCCTGTCTGAGTCCACTGCCCCTACCGTGTCCCCTGCTACAACACAGAGAGCTTTCAAATGCATTTCATTTCTTTCTCGTCTTCTTTCCTTGTTTCGCGTGCTTTCTAAAATGTTTTACCTGACTCCAGAAGCTTCCTGACACAGGCCACCTGCTGTTTCCTGCACGCCATATACAGAGGGGTGCCCAGGTGTCTGATGTTGAGGTTGAGGTTGCCTCCGTGAGCTGCCAGGATCTCGACGCAGTCCACGTGGCCTGCAGCCCAAAGCAGAAGAAAGACGCTATCGCACAAATTCCCTCAGCGGGGGAAACCGCACCTTCCCTGTGTTTGGGGTGCGTACATTTCCCCGGAACCAGAAGCTAGCGCGGGGAATAGGGAATGAGTTTAATCCTGGCCATCAGGGAATGGGTTGACTGTTGAGATGGTAGCTGCAGCTCCGGGTAGAGCCCCACTTGGGTTTACCAGCCCCGGTAAGCGACCGGCAACCTTTTCCAAGCGTTGGTGGCCTTGTAATCGGCCCGGATATAGAAACCGAAGTGAGGGTCGGGAGGGGTGTGGAGGGACAGGACCGTGGGGGGACCTGAAGAGGAAAGGGCATGGTGTGGGCCATGGGATGGGGCAGGCAGCCCACAGGGTCCCCCAGGGCAGGCCCTGGGAGAAACAGGCCACCGTGGGCCCAGGAGGGGTTCAGCCGCCAAATCCAATGGGAGCGGGGCCCAGTCTGGCAGAGGGGGGGCTGGCAGAAGCCGCATCACCCTTGCTTGGTCTAGGAGGCTGTACTTTAAAACATTGCTCCTTTGCGTTTCGCTTTTTACATCATTTGAGTTCTATGCACCCAGCGAATATGATGAGCTGCCCCGTCTCTTAAGGAATAAATGTCAACGCTCTGGGAGCTAATTAGCATATGGATGGATTCAGTCACATGGGGTTGCCGTCAGGCTCCCGGGGAGCCATCCTGGGAAAGCCACCGGGAGCTAAAAACTCTCCCTTCCGCCGATGTGTGGTCATGATGGTGATGAGGGCGGGAATGAACTCTGGAGAGGAGCAAAACTGGCCATGTTGTGTTTTGTGCCCGAGTGAAGAATGTCGGAAAAATTACGACTTTGTGGAGAGTATTACCCCAGCTGAATAAGTCCTGCGTATCTAACGTACGGCACGGTGACTGTTCGGGATACCGTACTGTGTACCTGAAATTTGCTGAGACAGTAGATCTTAAGTGCTCCCCCCCACGCACACAAAAATGGCGACTATATGAGGTGATGAATGTCTTCATTAATTTGACTGTGGTGACCATTCCGTAATGTACATGTGTATCACGTCATTATGTACACCTTAACTGTGTACAATTTTATTTGTCAGTTATACCTCAATAAGGCTAGGCATGGTGGACAATCACCCCAAGCTGTATACAACATCCTATATTTCCAAAAACTGAAAGTTTGTTCCACTTAAAAATCCTAGGTGGCCCTGTGACAACATTCCTTAAGGCCCTAAAATAGAAGGATATAACTTGTTTTATAAAATCATTTGATTTTTGTGGGGTCATGTGTTCAACAAGGTATTCCCCAAACATTGACGGACAGTCTACCATGTGCCAGACCCTGTTCCAGAAATCCGGCAGTGAGCCACATTCCAGAGGCTGCAAAAGGGGGCTTCTCAAACTGTGGGTGCATCTAAATCACCTGGGTGGTTGTGAAACAAAATGCAGATGGCTGGGCCCCACCCCAGAGTTGCTGATTCAGGGGGTCAGGCGTGAGGGGCAAGAATCTACAACGGCATGCCAGACCAGGCTGATGTGTCTGGTCCCAGGATCCCACACTGAGAAAATATCCCTCAAAAAATATCCCTCCTCGGGGCGCCTGGGCAGCTCAGTCAGTTAAGCCTCCGACTTCAGCTCAGGTCACGATCTCACGGCTCATGGGTACGAATCCTGCATCGGGCTCTGTGCTGACTGCTCTCTCAAAAATAAACCTCGAGAAATAAGCTAAGAATCTCTCTCTCTCTCTCTCTCAAAAATAAGTAAATATTGAAAAAAAAAATGTTTAATCTCCCTCCTCTTCCTTCTTCCTTTCAACAGGAAGATGTCTGTTGAAGTAGGGGCGGAAAACTTAAATTCAGATTTACCTCTCTTAGCAGCTTCATGGATGGGAGATGCCAGGTCGCTCACCGGGTGGGGGCTGGCACCGTGACGTAGAAGCAGAGTCATGCAGTCCAGGCTGCCGCTGATACAGGTATTGAACAAAGGAGTGTGCCAGTCGGCGGTGACACAATTCACCTGGAAAGAAAAGCTCCAGGCTGAAGGCAGGCAGAGGGGTGTCCTGGGTTCAAATCCGGGCTGCCCTACTTTCAAGCTGCTGTTTAACTCCTCTGAGCCTTAAATTCCACAGCTATAAAATGAGGACAAAAATACCAAATTCCACAAGGTTTTGAAAAACTGAATGAGGGACGGCACTGAGAATGTTACGGCATAGTCTATCATTTCCACACCCCCAAGAACATGAACTCTGAAACTAGTTAGGCTAATTCCAATAGTTTACAAACGAATCTCGTTTTAAACATTCCATTCTAGACCCATCCCACACCATTCCAGTTTCCTTCACAGCAGTGAGAGTAACCTTTTAGAGTTGTTAACATAACATCTTTAAAAAATTTTTAAATGTGACTTTCACAGAAATGTAGGGTGAGTATGTGCCAAAGATTTTATTCAACTCGTTCATCGATGAGGGAACTGGTAAGGGGGTAAGGCTGGCTCAAAGCAGAATTTATATAGTCAGCCAATTAAATGCTGAAATACATTTGCTAATAGATACAAGACCGGCTAATGTCCTACAGGGCCATAAAACTATCGTCTTTGGGGGCGATCTTTCCAAACGTTGGAAAGCAGACAGAAACTTACAAGTTAACATCCGACTTCACGGCGTTTGGGCTATAATCGAGTAGGAAAGAGCAAAGCCAAATGCAATCTTTCTACATTGTCAAATAATTCTGTGGTGAATCCGTTCAGCAGAGATATTATGAAGACAATGAAGGCATTCTCACAAGCCATTTCCAAGGAAGGCTAGGATTAGGGAGGCACAGAAGATGTGAGGGTGCAAAGTTTAAGGAGACACTCACTCCCAGGGGCACGTGATGCTGAACAGCCCTGAGAGTGAGGGGCTCTTTAAAGCTTGCACCCTAGGTGCCTCTCTGCCTTTCCTTAGTCCTGGCCCTGTTTCCATGTGTGGAAACCTAACCCCAATATAAACCCGATGACGCACTCATCTATGGTTCTCTACGACTACTGTCAGGAGAAAGCCATTTCCTGGCACGGACAACCCAGCATTCAGCCCATTCCAACGGGTCCTTTACGTTTCAACTTAGACATCATTTCCCCTAGGGATCCTCTTCGGGCCTCCTCTCTCCCCCACCAGAAACGAACGGGCCAAGAACCCTTCCGTGTGCTCCCAGCAACCACCTTAGCTTATCACATGGTGGTAGTTTGCAAAAATGGCCTCAGATTCTCCACACAGGATGCATATCCCTTTGCAATGTAGCCTTGCAATTCCTCCCCTCACAGGACGGAGACCGCTCTTCCTCCTTGAATCGGGGCGTGCGCAGGGGACTTGCTTTGGCCGATGGGACAACAGCAAATGTGCCGCAAGCTGAGAGCCCACCTTCTTTTGATGCTCTTGGAATCCCCGCTACCACGTGAACAGGCCCAGGCTGCCTGCCAAAGGATGAGAGACCACGCGGGGATTTTCCGTCTCCTCAGCCATCCTGGCCAAGGTCATCACGAACCAGCCTGCCCCAGCCAACCGGTCAGCTAACCTCCAATGCCTAAGCTGACGTCAGCCGAAGCAGGAGAGACCAGAAGAACTATCTGGCCAACACAAGGATTTGTGACATAAATAAATGGCTATTGTCTTCAGTCATTAAGTTGGGGCGCTTTGTTACACCGCAGGATATAGTGGGCAAAAAGAGCGCCGTGTAATGGCCTGCTGTGGCTGAGATGCTGTGCATTCAACAAACCAACTTCCGCTCCTTGCAACTCACGGCCATACTATATTTCCCCGCCTCCCGGGCAGTTACACGTGGCCTGAGTTCTGGCCCACGGGGTGCGGGCAAAAGCGATAGATGTCACCGCCAAGATAGGCCCTTGAACGTCTTCCATGCGCAATCTTCTGCATCTTTTCTCCTTCTGGCCACCCGGAGTGGCGGCCACCACTAGGAGCACACGTGAAAGCCACTTGTCGAAGATGGATGCAACAGGCTGAAAGGAGGCTGCGTGCCTGAATCACCCCCAGAGAGTGCCACCCAACAGAGAACACCCACACGGGAGTTTCAGTTGAGCAAGAAATCAACTTTGATTGCATTAGGCTACTGAGATTTCAGGGTTTATCTATTAAAGTAACGAGGGTTATATTCACTTATTCACCTGTTTACCTATCTGGCTGTGCCCTCATGTAGTTTACAAAGGTCCTAAGAATCTTTATCCAGAGTTTAGGCACATAATACATGCTCAGTGAATGCCGGTTGAGAGAATATGAGAAACTCACATACATATATATATGTATATGTATATATACATATGTACACACATATACATATATATACATATGTATATACATATGTATATGTATTGTACATACATGTATATACATATGTATATGTATATACACATATATATGTGTATATCTACATATATATGTATGTATATATGTATATGTATATATATACATACATATATATATATGTATGTATATATATAATATTCTGATCAGACTCGTCCATCACTTTCGAACATGGGGGACTTAGTTAATGGAAGACTTACTGGTCCCTACTTTCAAACGTAATGACTTTGTGTCTTCCTTCTCTAGGACCTCATTATGCCATCCTGATTCTCGCCCTTCAAATAATAATCCTATACCTCACGTCTCTCAATCCTCACGAAACCACAAGAAGCTACATAACTTCCTTGTCATTTTCTCCCTTTTCTCAGACACAGACTCTTAAAGCTCGGAGCCTAAGTAACGTGTCCAAGTTTCCAATATTAGGAAATGGTAGACATGGTTTGAGACCATTATTCAGGTCTTATGGAGCCAAATGGTCTATGTTTTCCAAAATATTTCATTACCTGCCAGCCTCAGGAACGAAGGCAGATATCTAACAGGTGTTTCTCAGTAGTGACTGTTAAAGAATATGATATAGACGCAAATCATTACTTTCTGGCTAAAAACTCAATACTTCATCTGTTGCTAAAGCAAAGAAGCTGATGGACATTCAACTTTTGAAAACACCCCCCTTCAAACCTCAACTCAGGCTAGTCAAAAATGCTGGAAATTATTCAAAAGGGATAGAAGTACTCGTTTGTCATTCATGGTTTCTAAGACATTATTTGAGCTGCACTTACCTGAGCTCCATGCTTTAATAAAATGTTTGCACAAGAGACGTGACCTCCAAGGCAGGCTTCATGGAGTGGGGACACACCATCTGCTGTGATGAGGTTCACAGGCCACCCCTGGAGAGGAAATGAGCAGAGTAATGAGTGCAAAGCGACAGTTCCGTAGGGTTGGTTTTGAGCCACAGATCCAGAGCTGTGACAATTCTTTTAAAGTCAACCTGGCTCACAATCTGACGGTACGCTAAGGTATTCCTGATGACATAAAACAAACAAACAAGGAATTTTCATGCTCGCCAACAGTCATGTAAGTGAGTTAGGACTCAGGTCCGCCTCTAGTTGCCCCTTAAGATGACTGTGTCTCTGGCCCTCACCTTGACTGCAGACTCATAGGAGTCCCTCACCCAGGCAAATTGTGTCTAGATTCCTGACCCACAGACACTGTGAGCTAATATATGTCTATTACATTAAGCCGCTGGCTTTGGGGGTAATTTGTTACATAGCAAGAGATGACTAACACAGGGCCAAAGCATGACCCCACAGGCAGAGGCAGAAAGTCCCAAAGGAGAGGGGCAAATACATTCTTGCTCCAGGTGCTCGAGGACTAAAGAACCAAGAAAGTTGTCTGAAGGCCCTGGGGTTCATCAGCCTCTGGGGAAATGTGCTCTCCAGGAGATGGATTACGAGCCAAACCCAAGCAAAACATCAAAAGAGCTCCAGGAGAGGCTCCAGACCCCCCGACGGTGGACTACATTAACCTTAACAGGAGGAAACTGAGTACAGTAAAAGTTCTTTTCCTCGGGACACATCGGTTAAGAACCCGGTTAGTTTAAGTGATGACTTAGTGACACATTTAGGTTTTCTTCCCAGAAGAGTTACAAGTTGCCTAAAACCATTCCAATAAATTGCGTCCCACATCATCATTCCTAACACACGTTCTTCCACTTATGTGGACATTTATGAGTCAGTCAACCTCCCGATCACCCTGTCCTGTTGGCTTTTACCCTCTGATGGGTGACCTCGTAGATTTTTGAGAGGTCCAACAATTCTGGGCATACACCTGAGTCCACAGGACCCTGAATCCAGAGCCCTTCTTTGTGTGGGCCTGGGGCGGGGGGATGGTTCTGGGAGACTAGAAACAATCCACTTGTAAATGAGAGATTCCAACATCCCTTTCAGCATTTTGCACCCCCCCCCCCCCCGAGCTCTGCTATTCCCAGGGAGGGAAAAGACAATATCTTCCTTCCCTTTGTAACCTCACATCCCATCTGTACCCAATGTGCACTTCAGAAATGCTTACTGAGCGCAACTCAAGAAGAACAGAGTTCTTGCATTTCTCCCTTTACAAGTACTGCTCATGGACTTTAGGGCGACATCTGCTATTTGATTTTACTATTATTTAACTGGAGGCATCCCCTCAAAGATTTGTTTTCAAATCCTTTTTTACCCTCCTCTCAGTGCTCTATATTTGTCCTATCTCTTCCACTTGCACTGCTAGAGCACACAAGAAATTCACCGCAAAATGTTACTTGCGTTTTTCCCTGTGCAACAGATCATGAGATGAAATGTACTCCTGCAGTCACCACTGCCATTTTTTTTTGAGACCACTGCCATTTCTAAGCAATCATTTAGGTACTTATACAAACACCCAGGTAAATGAAAATGCAAAAAAGAAATTAATCGCCATACAAAAACCTTTCACCACATATTACATATTCATATTACAAAGAGGTTCCTTTGCGTTAAGGTTCACTTTCCAAACTCAGGACTCCACGTACAGTTCGTCATTGAGCTACAGCTCCACTTTAAATGAACGGTGGCAATTTGTCTGAATTATCGACAAATCTGAATCGTATAATATTGTGAAGTAATTTTTAACCCATTACTTCATACGGGATCCAGTCCGCAATAGGTTCCTGGGGGGGGGGGGGGGGGTAATGGATTAAATGGCTTACTTTAATTTTTCTATAATCAATTGTCCCTACTCTCAGTCTATAATCAGACGCTCTTTTTGATGGGTCCTTGAGGCTGGGCAGTATCGGGACACCCATGGGGAGGGACACAGTGCTCAGTACCTGGCGGCTTTCTGTCCCAGCCTCAAATCATACGCCCCCAACTTTCAGACTACAAGGTTACACTTTTCCCCTTGTCCTATACTCAACTGACACATTGTTCTCTACACTCAGCACAGAGGAAGGTCATGAATACCTGTCTCTCATGTTCATCAGAATACACCAGTCCCTTCTGTAGCAAGGAGATCAAAGCCACTTGATGGGAGGACTTCCTACATTCCACTCTCTGTATGTCTCCAGTCTTTTCTACCATTGCTCCTTTCTCTGAGGCAGGAACAGGTGAGCTCACCCCAACAGCCTCACGGGACCTCACCCGGTCCCTCTGCCACGTCACGACTTTCTTTCGGCCACATCTCACATGCGTTCCCCCACTCTCTCCTCTTCAGGCAGACTTTCCTTTTGCGTTTCAAAGTCTTCCCTTCCTCATTCCTCACCCTCTTCCAAACTTGCATCCAATGCTCTTCTTCCCTTTGCTTCCCCCTGCCATTTTTTTTTTTCAGAAATAGCCTGCCCCCCTTTCTTTAACTTCTAGCCCTTCTCTCATCTACCAACACAATCCCACTGAAACTGCTTCTAGAGATCACCAGAGACTTCCTCCTTATTGAATCCAATATACATCACTCTAACCTCCGCCTCCTTCCACCTCTGAATTTGCTATGGGTTCATCCCAACCTTGTGAAACCTCTCCTCTGGCTTCTAAAACCAAGCTCTCCCTAAAAAACAAAAACAAAAACAAAAACAAAAACAAAACAAAACAAAACAAAAAAACCCAGGCTCTATCTCTGGCCTCCTACTGTCCTTTTACTGCCTCTCTCACTAACTCTGTCCTTTTCCTCCAAATATCTCCTCATACAGACATTTCAGGGATTTGCCCTCAAACCCTTTCTTTGTCTCTCAATACTCTCCCCACATACGGTATACAGCTTTCAAAACAAAATCTCTACCCCTTGTACGTGTTTCTAACTCCCTGCTAAGACACAACCACCTAGGGACCCAACTAACCACATCAACTCACCCTCTGCCAACAACCGAGCTCTCCCTGAAAAGGGCTCCTTGTCTTGCCAGCCCTCATTCTCTGAATGGCACCACTATTCTTGTTCCATACCTCGGATGGAGACCTCGGAGGGAGGGTAGCAGAGTGATTCCCAAGTTCAAACGCTGGCACCATCCCCTAACAAGCAGTGCGGCCTTGAGCCGGTTACTTGTCTCCTTCAGCCTTAGCTTCCTCATTTGTAAAATGGGGCCAACTGTACCTACCCTATAAGGTTGTTATGAGCACTAAGAAATGGTGTATACAAAATGCTTAGCGCTCGGTAACTTGTAGGCCGTCATCATCTGAGATTTCTTCCTATTCTTTATCACTTAGCCTTCAATCAGCTGCCACACCCTAAAGATCTGATGTTTTAGAACACCAGCATCTTTGCTAGTATCCACTCACTAGTGACTTAGCCGTTTGAGGATTTCAGGGGCAGCATAAGGAGTTTTATTCGAGGAGCTGAAAAGCCAGTCTTCACCACTCGCTGTCAGCGAGACCTTATTGCTAAGGTTCTCGGTCTCGGCCGTGCCTTGGAATCACTCGGGGAGCTTTTAAAGTCCTGATAACCAGGCTGCATCCCAGAGCACTTGCAATATAATCAAAGGACATAGAAGTCGGGCATCAGTATTTTTAAGAGCTCCACCTTATCCCAGACATCTCAAGGTGATTCCAAATGTGCAGTCCAGACTGAGAACCACCAAATTAAGGTCCCACTATGGTCAAGTGATTCCTTAATTGCTTTCTGCTGGCCTAACAAACTGCTACTGTTTTTTTTTTTTCAAATAAATTTTTATGGAAGTGCAATAAAGAAAAGTTAATAAATCCTAAGCGTAAATCTCAGGGAATTATCATAAAGGAAATATACATCTCATCACTACACAGGCAAAGAAAAAGAACACTACCAGAAGCCCACATACACGATATCCAAATTATGACCCACCTCTCATCCACAAAGGCATCCACGATGCTGATCTGTAACACCATACGTTAATTTTCCCTGATTTGAATATTATGTTCATTGAACCATGAAGTATGTATTTGTGGGTGTGCGCGTGGCTCCTTTCATTCAATATTATGCTTGTCACACTCATTTATTCGTCCATTTTCATTGCCATACAGAGTCTCATTGAGTAATATGCCATCATATACTTAACCATTTTACTTTTGATGGACACTGAGGTTGCTCTCAAGGTTTTTGTTCTGTTGCTCTTATGAATAATGCCGCCATGAATAGACCTGTTTGTGCCCTTTGCTGAACACACAGACACACATACAGTAAAACCTTGGTTTGTAAGCACAATGAGTCCAGAAACATGCTTGTAAACCAAAGCACTCGTAGGTCAAAGCAAACCTCAAGAACCATTGGCTTAGTTGTGATCACGTGACATTCGGCATCACACTACTCATATTGCAAGACATGGCTCGTTTATCAAGTTAAAATTTATTAGAAACGTTTGCTTGTCTTGTAATCACTCGCGGAACAAGTTACTTGCAATCGAAGGTCTTACCGTATCTGTGTCTGTTGCATACAGACCTAGAAGTAGAATTGCTGGGTTATGGGGTAGGGATATTTTCAGCTTTAGTAAATATCGCTTAACAACTTCCCAAAGTGATTTGTATAATTTATACTCCCACCAGCAGCATACGAGAGTCCCAGTTGCCCCACATTCTTGCCGATACTTGGTATTATCTGGCTTTTGAAAAGTAACCCTTCTGGTGGGAGAAGCTGGCAATATAATCTCTCACTTGTAATCTGAATTATCCCAATGACTAACCAGCATAGTTTGATTTATTTGTTGAATATTTGGATATCCCTTTTTATGAAATGCCAGTCCAAGTCTCTTGCTCATTTTTCTGTTGGGTTGCCTATCTTTTTTGTATTGATTTTAGACAAGGAATATGAGCCCTTTGTAAGATGTGTGTGTGTGTGTGTGTGTGTGTGTGTGTGTGTATATGTATACACATATGTATATAAATATATGTACATATGTATATGTAAATATATAAATATATACATATGTGTATTTACTTATATATTTATGTATATGCATATACATGTATATTTATATATGTAAAATGTTTTCTCACCTGTGGCTTGTCTCCTTGCTTTTTAAACATTGCCTTTTGATGAAGTTCTTAATTTTAAAGAAATCCAACTTATCAGTCTTTTTGTTCCTTTCCTTATACTATTTCTTTCCTGTCAAATGCCTGTCTCTCTCTCTCCTACACTGTCAAAATGGACTTTTTAAAAAAAAAATTCCTTGAACACAGTGGCTCTACAGGAGTTTTTAGAAAACTACCAGTGTGGGGCGCCTGGGTGGCTCCATCAGTGAAGCGTCTGGCTCTAGACTTCAGCTCAGGTCATGGTCTCATGGTTCTGTGCTGACAGTGCACAGCCTGCTTGGGATTCTCTCGCCCTCCCTCTCTCTCTGCCCTTCCCCACTCATGCTCTCTCTCTCAAAATAAATAAATAAACGTTTTTAAAAAACCACCAATGCATGAAGATGGCCCTAGGTTAAATCAGAATACCTGGAGTGAGGCCCAGGCATTGTTATTGCTAAAAAATGGCCTGGATTATTTTAATGTGAAGCCACCGTGAAGAATAATGAGTTACGGATTCAGTTTCTCCCTTCTTGGGCCACATGAGAATTTCTTTTTCTTTTCTCTTTGTTTTACAGCCATCTCAATGTTTGGTCTTATTCCCCTTCCTAAAATGTGTCTGTTTGGTGTAGCACCTGTGTTTGTCACTATTCTTTGATCGTTATTGGAAGTGTCATTAGATCGTAGTCAGAGAATAAATACCATGTGTGGTGACGGTAACTGGAGTAGGTAAGTTACAGGACGTCACTTCGGTTCATTCTCACAAACCCACATAAGGTAACGTAACAGACTGAATTTTTGGTCTTAATTCTGTATTCCCCTCTAGCAGTATAAAACATTCACACCCTTGCCATCACCTCATAGTTGACAAAATATAATTCCTTCATCCTTGACTTCAGACCCGGGCGTCTGACTTGCTTTGGCCAACGGGATGTTGGCAGATGTGACGCAAACAGACTGGAAGTCCTCGTGCATGGTGGGGTTTTGCCCGGCCTTTTGCCATGAGAACAAGAGGAATGGGAGACACATGTAGCAGAGCTGGACCCAACCCACAGCTTGGAGCCAAGCCCAGCCTCGGCTGGCTGACCCAAAGACTCGTGAGCTAGAAATAACTGTTCATTGCACGATGGCACCGAGTGTGGGGTGCTCTGTTGCACAGCAGGATCTGACTAATACGGGTAGTTACTGGAATGCTCATTTTATGAAGGCAGAAATTGAGGTTCCAAGAAGACAACTTGCTCACATAATGCGATAGAGCTCAGATAAAGAAATGGTTCCGTCCGATGCGCACTAAACATATAAATACTGAATATAAATGCATGTCAGTCCAATTTAATAAGTGATACATAGAAGCTACAGCGATCATTTTTCATCCTATCAAAACAAGGTAAATGTTTCATTTTATCTGGGAAGCAGCTTAACGGCTTTAAGCTAGAGTTATGTGTTCCTACCTATATTTCTATTGATAATAGGCCGCTGGTACCATAAACAGCTGAAGACAGTGGCTTAGGGTGGTCTCAAATTTTTCTTTAGAAATTGTTATCTCATAGAAGGATTTCTCAGTCTAGATAGGCCCATGAAATTGGACTTTTTTTTTTAATTTAAAACATTTATTTTCACTAACAACTACCTAGGATGTACGATGTCCTTCCATTATGACTCCAGACGACAAACCACAGTAGTAATAGCAGTATATAGGACAATCACTGAGAGGAATAACAGATACTTATATTGCATTATTATTATTATTTTAATGTTTATTTTTGAGAGAGAGAAAGAGAGCACGAGTGAGCAGGGGAGGGGCAGAGAGAGAGGGAGGCAGAGGATCCAAAGCGGGCTCAGCGCCAACAGTAGAGAGAGAGAGCCTGAGGTAGGATTCAAACTCACGAACTGTGAGACAATGACCCGACCTGAAGCTGGAAGCTTAACTGACTGAGCCACGCAGGTGCCCCACATTATAACTATTGTAGGTGTCTGAAATATCTCAAAATACACGCTCAACCTACTTAGAAAATAGGGTAGTTATTAGCATCACCAACTACATCTTATTTAATGCATTTTATATCACTATGTCACGTTTGATTTTTGTAACAATTTGATAGGTCTTCGGTATTGTGCTTTATGCATTTAAAACATTAGTCTGAGGGACATCTGAGTGGCTCTGTCAGTTGAGCATCTGACTTCAGCTTGGGTCATGATCTCACAGTTTGTGGGTTCGAACCCTGGGTCAGGCTCTGTGTTGACAGCTCAGAGCCTGAAACCTGCTGCGGATTCTGTGTCTCCCTCTCTCTCTCTCTGCTCCTCCCCTGCTCATACTCTGTTTCTCTCTCCCTCAAAAATAAATAAGCATTTAAAAAAATAAATCAGTGTGGACTTGAGATGACACCTGAGGAGCAGAGAAACGAATCTCAAACTGGGTGGAGCCACCATCACCTAGAGGTTCAATAACACTGAAAATGTCTTCAAAATTTCAAGATTACGCACTTAAAGAGACATTTCAAGCATTTATTTCACATCAGGGGTTTCCAACCTCAGCACTACTGACATTTGGGGGTGGAGAGTTTTTTGATGTAGAGGGCCGTCCTGTGCTCCATCCATGTTCAGAAACATCCTTGGTCTCTACCCACTAGATACCAGTATCACCCCCCCCCCGACCCCCACTCCCAGCTGTGACAGCCAAAAATGTCTCCAGCCATTGTCAAATGTGCCCTCAGCGGTAAAACCGCCCCAGTTGAGAACAGAATGTGTCACGGGATAATTTTCAGGAATGCGGTCTACTGAATAAAGCGAAGGCAGCCTGAACGCACTCATCTGCCTGTTATTCACTCGATAGATATTATAGCACCTATTGTGTGCGCAGGATTGTATTAAATTCTATTATCATGCCAGGACAGGAATCACCTCATTTTGCCGACGAGGAAATTTATATCTTAATATCCGACTAAATGATTTTTTTTCTCAGTGTGGTGAACAGTAGGATACGCTTCATATTTATCTCTCTTTTTGCTTCCCCCAAAGCCATGTACCTGGTTGATGAGGCTTCTCAGAGACAACAGACGTCCTTGGATAGCAGCTTCATGCATAGGAGACCAATCAGACACAATATCTGCATGGAAAGGGAAGAACAGGTTACCTCCTGTTCATGCACGACAGACCCGAGGCTCATCCTTGCTGGTCGGTAAGAGCCCGAGGGGGTCTTACTGGATGGAGACATCGGAGCCAACCAACCAAAACTCCCATGAGCCTTTCAGCATTTCTCCCCTCCACTGATGCGGCTAGTATGCATTTTATTTGAAAGGTCTAGATAGCTAAGCAAAGAACTACAGCCAGTATCCAAACAGGACAAAAGGGGTGGGTTGAGATGGGAGAATCCTGGACTCCCATTTACCCAGTGGTTTCAAAGGCAAACGGTCTGTTTAGGTAAGTGAGAGCCTCACTAATTAGCAGCATTAGTGTGCTAAGCTGCGGTTGCCAGCCTAGCTTCCTGTATGACATACAAACTCTGGTGTCTCAGCAAACAGCGCCACAGACTGATGGTAGTAATCGTGTGATTACACGCACTATTAGGTTTGAAATCAGATCGACACAGAACTCTATCTGTTTATGGATTACCTCCTGTCCCAGTATCAGGCACAAATTAGAGTTTGCTCTGATCTTGTAACGGGGGACATTATTTACCCCAAAAGGCAGCACGCCAATGGGGTTAAAGAGAGGCCTGGATTCAGACCTGTGTGGCTGCTTCTGAGCTGTGGGTCCCGGGACAGGCTCTGAGCCTCAGTTTCCTTCCCTGTCATGTGAGGACAGCAATATACTTACCCGTAACTCAATACCTATTAGCTACTATCATTATCCTGCCCTACCATTAATCAGCGTCTGGATTATACCCCACCAGCACTGCTATTAAAAATGGCAAAATTATTCTACAACCATATGGGAAGAATACACACTCTTAGGAAGGAAGCCTATAAGCCCTATGCCAACACATGAAATTAAATGCTCTGGTCTCTTGAACTGAATGTGGAGGTAACCCGCATGAGGCACAGAGAGGAGCTTTCCTCATCTCGAGCCGTGTTCTGATTTCCAGAACAAACACAGGAAGTCAGAAGGTGAGGAGGCCCATCTGATACGAGGCACGCCTTGGAAAGGAACTGGTGTCTCCTAAAAGCGAAGGACGCCTAGGGAACCAGAGAAGTTGCTAGTGCCTTACCAAATGAAAAGCCAGAAAGGGGGAGGCTAGCACACTTTGTACTTAACACGTGTTGGCTGAGGTCAGCCTGCTGTCCAGACAGGGCTACCAATGCCCTGGAAAATCTGTCCCAGGGAGCAATTACCATCCTTCCAGACGGATTCATGAAGCATTTACAGGTAAGAGGAGGCTGAATGAACCTGCCCACACACTGTCCGCCCAGTGCTTTCTTCTGGGGTCACTAAGAGTGCCTAAGGTCAAACGGCTTTTCCGCAACCTCCCAAAACCATATGCTCAACACAAACTTCACGTACTCACGGCGCCCTCTGAGGATCCGGATCCTCTCAGGAAAAATATCGCTGTTTCTAGTGGCCGGGGGCCTACAATTCAGACTGCAGATGTGGAAAGATTTCTCTCCAAATTAGAAGTAAAAGGACAACGAATTCTGCACTGTTGGCACGAATGCAAAATGCCACCCGCACAAAATCTTGAGTGAGAAGAAAGAGCCAAAAATCGAGAAAGGTTTGGAAAATCAGTTTTAAATAAATGTGCAAATGGACCCTAATGGACCGTGGTCTCTTAAAGCAAGCTCAGATGATTAGAGTTGACAGCCTCAACAGTCCAGGCAGGTAATTTGGGTCCTAAACTCGAACTCTGTTCAGATGCCATAAAAATGAGACAACGGTATTATCCAGTGGAGACGAAAATGGGCTTTGTTTTGGATTCATTTATCATGAAACCATTACTCCTTCTATTTACAGTAAATAAGGAATTCTGTACTTCCCTAAGAGGGAAAAAAAGGATACCTGAAGTTGTGGACCCCTGTTTCGGAATGTAGTATTTACAAAGCAGACTAGTTTGTGTCACCGAGAAGCCCAGGCCGTTGCCCCGGTACATGTGCCGGGGGGAGGGGGGGGGCGCTGACGGTCTGCACCCATCTATGTGACTAACGGCTTGATTTATAATCCACATACCATACAATTCACTCATTTAAAGTGTACAATTCGGGGACGCCTGGGTGGCTCAGTGGGTTAAGTGTCTGACTTCAGCTGAGGTCATGATCTCGAGGTCCATGGGTTCGAGCCCCAGATCGGGCTCCATGCTGACAGCTCAGAGCCTGGAGCCTGCTTCGGATTCTGTCTCCCTCTCTCTCTGCCCCTCCCCTGCCCATGCTCTCTCTCAAAAAAAAAAAAAAATTAAATATCTTTTTTAAGTGCATAATTCATCGGTTCTCAGAAGATTTGTGGAGTTGTGCAACCATCACACTCTGGTCAATCTGAGAACGTTTCCATCGTCCCCAAAAGAAACCCCTTGCCCACCAGCAGTCACTCCCCATGTTTGCTCTTTCCCACCCCTACACCTGGCAACCCACGATCTACTTTCTGTCCTTATAGATTGGCCTGATCTGGACATTTCACGTAAATGGAATCACATAGTATGCGGTCCTTGGTGACTGGCTCCTTCCACCCAGCATAATGTTTCAAGGTTCATCCGTGTTACCATATGCATCAGTAATTCATCCCTTTTGATGGCCAAATAATAACCACTGTATAGAGAAACCACATTTTATTTGTTCATTCATCAGTTGGCGGGCATCCGTGTCATTTTTACTTCTTAGCTGTTATGAATAATGCTGCTGTGAACATTCATGTGCCCATTCTTGGGTGGCCGTTTTCAGTTCTCTTGGTTTCTTACCTAGGAGTAGAAGTGCTCTAGGACACGGGAACCCGATGTTCAGCCTTTTGTGGAACTTCCAACCTATTTTCCAGAAACGGTTGTACGAACGTATCGTCCCATGAGAAGTGTATGAGACTTCCCTTCGTAATTTAAAGTCATTTCGGACTAGCGTTTGGTGAACCTATCATAGGGTGTCCGTCGCTCCTGCCCAGGAGAAAAACTGGGGTCCTTGGAAAGCCAAACTTCAGAGACCTCAACAGGTCTCTGAACACTTGGGTGATTATGTAAAAGCTTAAAAATGTGACAGCGGATATAGGGTTTTTTTTTTTCTAGCATTGAGAGCATGGAGATATGTGTACACACACACACACACGGTTTCGTAAACACCGTAATTTGCAACATGGACTAGTCCAAACACACACTCTCATTAGCTCTCGAAAACACTGAAGAGACGGCTGAGAAGTCCATCCTGTGTGATCCTGCCTGGGAAGCTCAGGGAGAGGTTTCTCCAGGGGTTTCCAGAGCCCACACCCGAGCAGGCAATGAGCTACAGGCAATACGTGCAATTAAACCCAGAAGCAGCTGTGCCCGCCTTCCTGCTAACAACCAGAGGGCGCAGAAAGGGCAGGAAAGGGGACCTATTCCTGCCAAAACACGGAAATGCTCCCAGTAGGAGGCTGGATGAAGAGGCCACTCAAGGTCACCACCCCCCCCCCTTCCACTTGACCCCACCACCGGCTTCGAAATTCAAGGGCCGTGATCTGTATCCAACCCCTCGTCCAAGCCCTGAGTATATATTAAAGATTCCTCCCCAACACTTGCTCAGCCAGGGTCTAAGGGTTTTACTGCCAAACACTAGATGCTAAACGGGGTCACTGGCAATGCCACAGATGCAGTAGGGGCGGGCGGCTCTCCTAACGAACCCACTCCACACGCCCTCCAATTAGTGCCATTAAACCTACCTTTCTTTTCAGTCGAGTCTCCGTCAAACCCTACAGCATATTAGGAAGGAGGCCATTTCGTTTTTATTGCAATCTCTGGAATGACTTTGTAAATTTCCATCATTTCAGAGGAGACCGGTACACGCAACATTCTGCCAGGTCAAGGGGCAAAAAGGGAGGCTGGGTTGCCCTGAGGGGGCAGAGCACCTGCCTCGGGTCGATGGCACTGCAGAGAGCCGGGCGCCGGGTTTACAGCTACCGTGGGGACCCTGGTTGGATTCCAGGACAAATAAAAAAGAGGACAGAGAGAAACAGAGTCTCACGGACAGAAACAGGAAACAGAAAGGCCCACTGAGGCAACGCTGGGCGAGTGAGGCCTGTCCACTGTAATTCTTGCTCCGGTCCCCCACCCCCACCCCGACCCCAGCCTCTTCTTTCTCTGTCTCCGTCTCTCTCCCCCTCGGGCCACTTTCTGCGCAGGGACCTCACGTCATCACCCATTGTGTCTGCTCGGGCAGGTTTGCTCCAGAAAAGCTGTCCCTGCTGAGGCACCCCGAGATCTCAAAATCCGCCACGAGAGCCCAGAATTCTTCCCTTTCCCTGCCTGTGCTTGCCTGTCTTCTGTTTAAAATGGGAGCCCACTCTCTCCAGGGTGGGCTGGATCTTGTGTGGAAAGAAATGTCTCCAAAAAAACCTGCTGGAACCACCATGTGGTTACCTGCTCAGTGGGCTATGGGTGGTGTTTAGTTTCTCCTTCAAGGTATTTTCCAAAGTTTTTTTTAAAATTTTTTAAATGTTTTTCTTATGTATTTACTTGAGAGAGAGAGAGAGAGAGAGAGAGAGCAAGAGGGGAGGAGTAGAGAGAGAGCGAGACACAGAATCGGAAGCAGGTGTCAGGGTCTGAGCTGTCAGCACAGAGCCCGACGCGGGGTTCGAACTCACGCGCTGCAAGATCACGACCTGAGCCGAAGTCGGACGCTCAACCGACTGAGCCACCCGGGCGCCACTAAAAGTTTCCAGGAGTGGATGTGAATTAGTTTCACCCGAGCCGCCGTATCAAAGTACCACACACTGGTTGGTTTCAAACGACAGAAAGGCACGGTCGTGTAGATCTGAAGCCTAGAAGTGAGGAACGAAGGCCGTGCCGTGTGCAGAGGCTCTAAGGAAGAATCCTTCTTGGCCTCATCTGGCTTCAGGTGGTGGCCGCCATCGTCGTTGGGTCTTTTTGGCGCACGCACCACCCGAATCTCCGCCTGTGCCGTCACAATGCTTCTCCCTGTGTCTCCCGTCTTCTTCTTACAAGGACACCAGTCGTAGCATCAGGGCCCACCCTCCCCCAGTATGACCCCATGGTAACTAATTACATCTGCAATCCTATTTCCAAATAAGCTCACATTCTGAGGTGCTGGGGGTTAGGGCTGCCATGAGTCTTTTGGTGGGGGGGAGGGGGGGACACAATTCAACCCGTAACAAGGTATGTTCGGCGGGGGAGGGGGAAGGCATTCTTATTTTGCTCCTGGGGCAGAGGATTCAAGCGTTAATCTCGACGAGGAGCCGGTTGCCTTGTGCACAACCTTTGCTCCCTTCCTCCAGAGTAGGAGGTGGAGACAGACACACAGGGAGAGGCCGGAGCCGGGGCCGCAGAGCTCCCCCAGGCCGGCCACTGGTTCCCCTCCGATTGGCCCCGTGCCGGGAATAAGCCTCACCTGAGCCGAACTTCTCGGAGCTTCTCCACGTGGCCGTTTGGAAACAGCATTCCGGGTGCTTCACATTCCACACTTCGCCACGGTCAAGACTTCAGAAGCATAAACAGAGGTGACTGGGCTAGAATGGAGGTGGTGGCCCGGCGGCAGGCCTCACGCCAAGCAGGGGACAGAGAGGTTCCACCCGGGAGAAAGCCCTGGAGGGCTGCATGGTGGCGGCAGCGGGGCTGCGTGTGGAAGGCGAGTAGTACTTTGCCAGTCAGACGCAGAGGAGGAGGTGGGAGAGCAGAGGTGTCCTGCCACTACCTTGTGACTTCTGCTTCTTCGGAAACTTGTCTTCCTTTTAGTTACTGTGGAATGACAACCCCTGACCCCCCTCCCTGCTTCCCTCACTCACCGGTGCGGCAGGCTCCCCCGTGGCTCTCCATATGCATGAGAGTTGGAGAACCAGTGGATTAGCCCAACAATTTCCCATGACCCCACAATCCATCCTGGCTGCGGCTGCCAGATTCATTTACTTACGGTTTTCATTATTGCCAGATCTCCACTCCAGAACCATCGATGGCTCCCAATTGCCTGCCTTTGAGTATGTGGACACCCGCCCTCCCCTACCCACCAATCGGGCCCCAGACGGAGTTGGATTAGGATCTTTAGAAACCCTAATCAGTGAAAATGGCTTGGCACCCCTCTCTTGAGTGGAAATAAAAATAAACCTAATACTTAGGTGTAAAAAAATCAGGTGGGGAAGTCTTCCAAATTATGGATTCTTTCCCATATTGACCTGGAAATACAATTTGCTGCTTTAAAAGTACAGTTATCAAATTCATTTTTGTGAAGTAATTTTGGGGGCCACTCTGCTTTCTACTGCTCCAAGTTTGTGCTCAATAAATCTGATTAATCCAGTTCTCTCTTTGCGGATCCCAATCCTACTCACTGTGGAGTGAGTCTGCTTCTTTGACGAGCAAAATCGGATAAATGAATGAATGAATGAATGAATGAATGAATGAGCAGTCCTCTCTGCTCAGTTAGTCAGAGGGAAGGCATGTTGTATTTTATTTTTTTCTGTTTTTTCCCTTTCAGCTGCCGCACTCTAGGAGAGGGGTAAGTCCTACCTGACCGCTGGGCCCCTATAGACAAGCGTTGTGGGCAGTTTTGCTGATAATATGAACCTGAATGTAATGATCTCGCCTCTAATGCTTAGACCCATTTTTCGGCATCCCTTCGGTCAGCGGGCACCTGCTGAACGCTCACAAGAAATGACAGTTGCCCAGAGGCATGAATCTTGATAGTTGGCAAGGACACCACCTAACAGTTGAGAATCACACCTGAAAGACGCTTCTCCAAAGTTAAAACAAACAAACAACAGTCTGCTTTCAAGGCGAATCAATCAGTGCTCAATGTCTGAACATCATTTATAAAGCCAGCCCCACCTAAACGCCAAATACCTAAGACCTTTTCATAAATGTTTTGGCAGTAAAAATGTCCTAGTTATAAGGAACTTTTGTGCCTCCAGTGTGATATATGTGATACATTTGACCCACACAGTATAATTCCTCGGAGCTCAAGTTTTTACTGGTGAGTAAACGGTGACAGTTGACTTTGTGTGGTCTCTAGGACTCTGCAGATAGAGGTATAGGCGTTATTGACAAGCATGTGAAGGATATATACCAGCAAGTGGTGGCCATCTGTCCGGTAGCTGCCCCCTGGACACACCTCAGACGGAGCCACTGAAATCACCCCGCCCTCTTCTCTCCTAATCGCATCAGCCAGCCCCCCAGCACTCTGATTCCGGAGCCCCTGGACTCACCCCCCATCCATGGGTTTGAAAAGAAACTGGTGTCAGGATTGTCTTCTGGTCTCAAGGACTTACTGCTCCTGCCCCCTGGCGTGCCGTCCATGGTGTTGTTTCCTAGGCCAGGAGAGGTCCGTGTTCCACTTCAGTTGTTCACAGAACTCCAAATTCCATGCTCCTGGGATTCCAGTGCTGTGGCTGGCTGAGCCGCACCGTCCTGAGCAGACGGTAGAGAACAGCAGAGAACAGTACAGGCAGGGTAATCTGAGCACTACCTGTGGTCAGACAGACGTACGCGCCCAGACGCGCGCTCGCGCGTGTACACACACGCGCGCACACACACACATACACACGCTCCACCTAGCTGGCTGGAGGCTGGCCAAAGCTCACAACAGCCCCCCAGCCCAAGTCTGCAAAGTTGCTGATGTCACGTCCTTTCCCAATCTGAGACCAATCAGTGAGGAAGCCTTGGGGTTTATCAGGAAGGAAAGCCAGTTTGTAACTTTTGGAGAGCACAGGGAACAGGGTGGGGGTGAAGGAAACCACTCCCGGCTGCACTGTTGTGTTCACTCTGCTGGGATCTGCTTGTTCTGGGGGGTGGGGGGGGGGCTTCTCATTGTTGACAAAGCCCCAGAACCCAAGAGCTGAGAAAGCTGGTTTCGCTGCAGCCCCGCTGAATTGCTTGCACAGCAACACGCCATCTGCACATGTGGTTTCAATTTTTCTGGGAGTTTCTTATGGGAAAATGTGTCTATATGTTACAAAAATGCTCCTTGGGAAAGAACTTCTATTTTCTTCCCTCTGACTACAGGGACTTCACTACATGTCCCTTCACCCTCCCTCCACACATTGTATTTTGACTTCTAAATAAATAATTAACAGTTGCTGCTGGAAAATGGATTGCCAGGTGGCCCCGGGTATGTGGAAGAAACCTGCTACTTTGTTAATTATAAATAGCTTTACTCTGGGAAGTTTTCGCCTGTTCGCCTTTCCAGAACAGTGGGTTGCGGTACACTTGTCTTCTCAGGGGAACCCAGTTTCCCCCCACCCCCGGGTGCTGGTTCAGGCTGAGGCCATCCCTAGACTCACACTGCGCCTCTTTTCTGGGTGGAAGGGGACCTTTGCTTGCAGTTAGGGGAGTCCCTGAGTTAGTGTCGAGCATGGTCTGTCTCTGAAGTGACTGCAGATTTTTTTTTTTTAACACCAAAGATGCAGCCTCACTATTTCAGATTTATGGGTCCTCGACTGGAACACGTGGCAGCCATCGTTCACAGTTGGAGGCGTGGCCTCCATATTTCAAAATGCATTTCCGTGCACACATACGTATACGCATTTATCCCTTTACAATTTTTCACACGAACGCCATTGCATTACCATATCGCTCTCTGCCCGTGACACTTCTGTCTTGGAGATCTTTCCATTTTAGCACGTATGGCTGTCCCTCTCTCCATTATGGTGCAGCATGCCATATGGCTCAAAACTACTTTACTGTTCCCCCATGATGGAGGCAGAATGTTACCATCTCTTCTGTTACTATATTACCACCGCGGTCCATAATTTTGTTTAAGTGGCTCTGTGCACGGGTGCAAGGGTTTCTGGAGGAGAGATTCCTGAGTGGAAATGCTGGCTCGCAGGTGCACTCGTGCACATGCCATGATTGCTGCAGGAGCGAAGACACACACAGAAGTGAGTACAAGCCAAACGGGAGAATTCTGAAGATCAGTGACTTGTATCAGTGTCCGTGCACATCTCCACTGCACTGCAGGCTTGCAGAAAGCTGTCACTGGGGAAAATGGGCAGAGCTACAGGAGAGCTGCTTGAATGATGGCTTACGACTGCGTGAAATCTACAATTATCTCAATACAGATGGCGTTTTGAAAGAAAGAGGCTGTTCGTTCAAAACTGAGAGAGTGGCGCCTGAGTGGCTCGGTCGGTGGAGTGTCCGACTCTTGATCTCGGCTCAGGTCATGATCCCAGGGTCGTGGGATTAAACCCTGCCTCGGGCTCTGTGCTGAGCGTGGAGCCTGCTTGGGATTCTCCCTCCCTCCCTCTCATTCTCTCTCTCTCTGCCACTCTATCCCACTTGGGTGCACTTTCTCCCTCTCTCTAAAAAAAAAAAAAAAATGATAAAATTGACAGACATACTGCCAAATTGCCCTCCAGGTCTCTGCAGAATTAACTGAACGGGCCACAAGCAGATAAATTGTACGCTACTCCATCAGGAGAAGATTTGAAGAACTATCAAACTTGTCTTTGGCAGAGACTGAGAAATTTACTCCCAACGTAGACCGAATGATAAGGAGTTAAACAGAGAGGCACAATGGGGAACCTGGCTATTATCGCCATTCTTTGAGCAAAATCTTCATGGTACAGCTTCTTTATTTACTTTTAATTAAACTCCGAGAAGATAACATCTTCCCAGATTCAAATTTAAGTTTATTGTCCAACGTGACAATAAAGAGGATTTCCGAGTTGTTGCCTTAGTACCTGGGAGGGAATTAATCAGCTTTTAACCTTCTCACTAGAATGGGAACTGACTTTTTTTTTTTTTTTTAACTGTTTAACAACACTTCCAGTCAGGAATTCAAAAACGATTACAAGAGAAAGTCATGCATTTATAGGGATTTCAGGACAAAGTTGAATGGCAAGCATATGAGCCGTGATTATAGGAGAACAGGTTGGCTTACGACAAGCCACAAGAGGAGAACAAGCTTACGGACTTCTAGTCGTCCCTGTGTGTGCGTGTGTGTGTGTGTGTGCGCGTGCACATGTGTTCAGGAAACTTGGTCCAGGTTAGGTAAGAAAAAAGATTGATGTATGGCCTACAGCGGTAAGGCCACAGTCATTCCTTATCCAGTACAGTCTTAACACTAGCCAGGGCCTCTGCGGCCCCCTCACCTAGATGTCCACGGCTGACATCACTCATGGGTTCTGAGACTCTTTCCTCCCGAGGCCCTGGGGAGCCTGGAACGTCCCCTCCAATCAGTCAAAGTCGGCCCGGGAGCAGAAACCTCTGGTCATTCCAGCCAGCAACCTCTCTAGCACAAGACCCTTAAAACCCAAAAGGTACACCTCCCCTCTGATAATTTGAAACGATCTGTGTTTCCCGCAAAAAGCCTCGCTGTTTCTCTTGCTCTTGCATAACTGTCTGCATGCTGAGCTAGCTGGTGTTGCTACTTGAGACGGCAATGACTCGTCCCCACTCCATCTAGCAGTACAATAAGATTCAAACAAGGATGTGTCCTTTAAAAGCTGGCATAATGCAGTATTCTTGAGGAAACCAATCTCACAAATCAAAACCGAGAGTCGACATCCACAATGGGGCTGGATTCTTCAAAAATGCCAACGGCACGAAAGACCAGAGTGGGGGTGGGAAGGCTTTCTAGCTTAAAGGAGAAAAAAGTGACTTGGTGACTAAATACATGCGTGATCTTTGATCAGATCGTGAGTGGGGGTGTGGCAGGGGGGCAGGGACAAGATGTAAAAGGCATCAATGCCACCATCGCTGAAATTTAAATATGGACTGAGATCAGATCATCACAGTGCCTCGCCGGCAGGTCTCCTGCATGTGATTGCTGCCCCGAGGTTGTGCAGAAGAGTCTCTGTGTTCCTAGGAGATGCACGCTGAAGTGCTGGGGGCAGAGCCACGTGCAGCTTGACACAAAGGGAGAGATGTGTGCCCCTTTGTACACGTTTTACACCCAATGGAAGAAGCCAACGCAAGCTCTACAGTCAAAACCCAGGAGTATACGTAAAGACCACATTGCCCAATCTGTTCACAAGCCAGTGGCATTCCTCACGCGCCCAACAGCCACAAGTCCCAGAACCTTCGGCTGAGTGGAAACACTCTTCTTGTTGCACAATTATGTAAGCCCGTAAAACAAACAATAACCTGTCTTTGTTAAAAATTTTTGACATTTTGGTCATCGTGGGCTTTTTTCCTTAACACTGGATCTTTTTTTTTTTTTTAATATTGCACTAAAATATTTACTTTGGGGCGCCTGGGTGGCTCGGTCGGTTGAGCATCTGACTTCAGCTCAGGTCACGATCTCGCAGTTCATGAGTTCAAGCCCCACATCGGGCTCACTGCCGTCAGCCCGTCAGTGCAGAGCCCGCTTGGGATCCTCTGTCCCCTTCTCTCCACCCCTCCCCTGCTTGCGCTTTCCCAAAATTAAATAAATACTTTTTTAAAATATTTACTTTGATGATAGAGTTTCTTGGTGCTGCCCCCTTAGATTTTTTGCCCCACTCACCTCCTGTAATCTTGGCCCTGGTGAACAATCATGATGTCCACAGTTTATTCACAAATGGCTCATCTAAAATTATTTGTATACGTATTAGTTATACGCGGCTTACATGCATATATATTCTACAGGTGTGTGTACACACATGCATACGTGTATGTACATATACACACGTGTATGCATATACACAGAGATAAGCAAATGTGGCAAAATGCTAACGATTGGTGAACTGAGGTGAGGGGTACACAAATATTCGCTGTATTATTCTTGTAACTTTTCTGTAAGCTGGACAACTTTCAAAACAACAGTGCTGGGGGGGACATTACTACATAAAAATTCAAAGCAGGTATACATTTTTTCACCGGTTCAACTCATGTTAAAATAGGATGCTGCGATTTTTAGCGTGACCCATGTATTCGTCCTAGTATGGCTCTGCTGAAGGAAGGAGATTACTCCACGTGCAAATGTCTACGCGGGAGCAGTCCCTGGTGACCACATGTGATGGGGGAGCTCGGGAGATCCCCCAGTGCTGGGAGCACCCTTCCCTAACGAGCTGTAGTTATTCCACGATTCATCCCTCACCACGTTAAGGGCGCCAAATCGGCTCAGCAATGAGCATTGTTACTGAAAAAAGTTACTGTCTGTAAACCTCAGGTTTATGTGACACGGCGATATTACAGGTATTAGGGAGGAGAATTACTTTGGGAGAAATGGCTCCTTAATAAAAGGCAAACAAAAAACAGAGACGCTGAATGACATACCGAACCTTTTAAATAATTTAAGGGGTTTTGAACGAGTTGAGGCTTAAACTTCAAATAAAACAGGCAAGCTGACTTTTTTTGAAATAAGGCAGATGATGGATACCGTCAGATAAGTGACGAACGGGTAGACAGATGATAGACACAGGGTATACAGATCAGCATATTAGGTGTCTATATAGAGAAACAGATGGTATATGGATCGCTGATATTGGGTGTTCATGCAGTTTTGAAAATAGTTTTCCCTTCAAGTGATTCATTGTGTCAAATTCAAATTATTTTAAACTCTTATTTTAAATAGTTTTCCTGGGGCGCCTGGGTGGCGCAGTCGGTTAAGCGTCCGACTTCAGCCAGGTCATGATCTCGCGGTCCGGGAGTTCGAGCCCCGTGTCGGGCTCTGGGCTGATGGCTCAGAGCCTGGAGCCTGTTTCCGATTCTGTGTCTCCCTCTCTCTCTGCCCCTCCCCCGTTCATGCTCTGTCTCTCTCTGTCTCAAAAATAAATAAAAAAAAAAAAACGTTAAAAAAAAATAAAATAAAAAAATAAACCAGTTCACACTAGTGTTGTTTGTAAGAGTCAGAAATCAGAAAAAATCTAAGTATTCCAACAATACGGACATAGCTGAAGAACAGGACACAACCCTTTAATAGGATAGGTTCGAAAGGTCTGAAACTTAGAAAATCATTACAGTATGGTTTTTGGGGAAAGTAGGCATCAAAAACACTTTTAAAACAGCATCACTACGTCAGACCAGGCAAAGGAAGTGAAACGAAACAAAAGAAACCTGATATACCGCAAGAAGTCACTAAAACCTTAATAGTAAAAATTAACTAACCAATTTTAGACACCTACCTGAAAAATCCTTTTAAAATTCAGTCACCCTGACAGGGACCTCGCTTAATCACCTTATCTAAAACAGTAGCTCTCACCACCACTCTTTACCCTAATCTGCTTTCTTTTTCTTATCACTTTCCTGACACGATCATATATGTGTGTGCGTTGCTTAGTCCCATGAAAGCACCCTGGGAGCAAGGACCCTGTCTATCTTTTCCACAGCCTTAGTGTCTGGGTAAAAATAAATGCTGGGTAAAAATGTGCTGAATGAATTAATTGAAAAGTCACCCTAGAGCACTTCAGATGTGATTGAGATTGTAAAGAATTACACCATTTGGGGAGTAAAACATCACACATCCTGTGAAAAATGGAATAACCTATAATAGCGTTAAGAACCTCCAGGGGCGCGTGGGTGGCTCAGTCAGTGGAGCGTCCGACTTCGGCTCAGGTCGTGATCTCGCAACTTGTGAGCTCGAGCCCCGCGTCGGGCTCTGTGCTGACAGCTCGGAGCCTGGAGCCTGCTTCCAATTCTGTGTCAACTTCTCTCTTTGCCCCTTCCCCACTTGTGCTCTGTTTCTATCAAAAATAAATAAAATATTTTTTTTAATTAAAAAAAAACCAGAACCTCCAAAAGCAAGCAATATAAACCAGATGATTCCATCTGATGGCTTAATTCTAACTTGATGGAATGTGGGACTCAACGGGAATTTAAAGACTATTTCATGTCCTATCTCTGTAGTCATAAGTCATAAAACATTACAATTCCAAGACAAGGTCCAGGGATCTGGACCAGTTCGGCATCCACATCTTTCTGGAATCAGAAGAATAGGTCTGGTAAAGGGTCTCTCAGGACTCAGTTCAGAATTAAAGTGCTCCCCGTGACACAAAACACACCTACCAGAGCTGAGAGGTCCATACAAATAATTCATGAAATTCATGGTCTGCAGTTTCAGAAAGCAGATAGAACGGCAGGATTCTCAAGTCCCTGGGGGCTATAGATAGACTGACTATCCTAGGACATCGTGGGGTTTACCACGGAGCTCAGACATCCGACAAGATGCAAGCTGACCAAAAAATGAACTCAGGAGAACACTTTGAAGACAGAAAGCCTCCAACTCCTGAGTGTTCTATGATATATATTTTAACTCTGGAATGTCTACAATACGTATTTTAATTTACCAGTATTTTCTTGTCAAGTTTCTGACTTTGATGTTAGGCTTAGAAAAGACCTGCCTTTGCATATACGTTCATCAACCTTTTATTCTGGAATTTATAAGCATTTGAAATTTTTTAACATTTTCAAAAAACCAAGATTTGTTCTTTGGAATGTGATGTTAAATAAGAATTTAAAAGAATGTAATATTTCTTCCTCAAATAGTTAACTTGTTTTTTTATATTTATTTATTTCTGAGAGACAGAGAGAGACACAGTGCAAGTGGGGGAGGAACAGAGAGAGAGGGAGACACAGAATCCGAAGCAGGTTCCAGGCTCTGAGCTGTCACCACAGAGCCTGACGCGGGGCTCGAACTCAAGAACCGTGAGATCATGACCTGAGCCGAAGTCAAACGTTTAATCGCCTGAGCCACGCAGGCGCCCCCCTAATTAACTTATTTGATATTCCAAAGTTGTGAAAATCAGAAAAAGGTCTTGAACAGCACTAACAGAAACATGCCAGCCACACGTATCATTTAAAATCGTATGGCAGTCACATTAAAGAAAGTAAAAAAAAGAAGTGGAATTAATTTTAATAATGAATTTCATTTAACCTAATATATTCAAAATATTATCACTTCAAGGGTGCCTGGGTGGCTCGGTCAATTAAGCGTCTGACTTCAGCTCAGGTCATGATCTCGCAGTTCGGGGGTTCGAGCCCCGCGTGGGGCTCTGTGCTGGCAGCTCGGAGCCTGGAGCCTGCTTCGGATTCTGTGTCTCCCTCTCTCTGCCCCTCATCTGCTCACACTCTCTCCCTCTAAACAGTAAATTTTAAAAAAAATTATCATTTCAATGTGTAATCAACATCAAATTATTAATAAAATATGTCACGTATTTTGTACCGCATCTTCAAAACATGGTGTATTTTTTATACTCCATCACATCTGCGTTCAGCCCAGCCACCATTTCAGCTGCTCAATAGCCGAATGTGTCTAGTGGCTTAGGTACTGAATAGCCCAGATTTAGAGCAGTGTTTCACAATCTCAGCACTACTGACATTTTGGGCCTGGTAATTCTTTGCTGTGGGGAGCTGCCCAGTGTACCTAAGATGATTCGCTGCACCTCTGACCTCCACCCACTAGATGTCAGTAGCACCCCTCCCTCAGTTGTGGCAACTAAAGGTGTCTCTACTGACAAATGTCCCCGAGTGGGGGGGTGAAGGTAGGGCAAAATTATCCCCAGTGGAGAATCAAAGGGCTAGAAGACCTGGAGAAAAAAAAATACACGTTTGGAACCAACCTTAGGATCAGCTGAGAGAAAAGTTTCTTCTTAGAAGCTAATTTTACATGACAGTAGTACTTACAACAATTAAAAGTTTATCCACGTCAGAACTTACCGAAGTTCTAAATTCACAAAAGGGAGGGGGAGGAGGAAAAGAAAGGTGAGAAGTGGGAAGAGCAGAAGGGGGGAGTGGAAAAGAAGAAAAGGGAGGGGGAGGAGAAGGCTGTTGCTCCTATTAAAAATGCCATGCTTGGGGCACCTGGGTGGCGCAGTCGGTTAAGCGTCCGACTTCAGCCAGGTCATGATCTCACGGTCCGTGAGTTCGAGCCCCGCGTCGGGCTCTGGGCTGATGGCTCAGAGCCTGGAGCCTGTTTCCGATTCTGTGTCTCCCTCTCTCTCTGCCCCTCCCCCGTTCATGCTCTGTCTCTCTCTGTCCCAAAAATAAAAATAAAAACGTGGAAAAAAAAAATTTTTTTAAAAATGCCATGCTTACTTTGGACCCAGGCTCACAGAAATAATAGTGACCCGGCACGGAGCGTGTCTTGGCGACTGGCATTAACATATAATTATTTCAAACAACCCTGAGGCTCTTGACTTTGAAAATAAGCTGATGGATGCTTGGGTTGCAACATGCATCAAACAGTGCCTGCGGGTTCAGGTAATAGGGGAGCAGCCAGCGTTGCCCTGTTCTAGAACCGCGTGCTTCAACGAACAGCCTTTAATGTCAGAAGTGACGAGCAACATTTCTCTTATCAACCAAGACCTCAGTAACTGCAAGTCTCTGTTAACTTTGATGTTTCGAATGCATTCAGCGCGCACACACACACACACAGGTGCGCGTGTATATATATAAATGGCAAGGAAATCAAAATTACAGCAGAAGTTTATTCATGGAAGCAGAGAAAGAAAGGGCAAAGGAGGGAGGGACTACATCAGGAACACATCATGAGATACACTCGTCAGACTCTTATTCACCCAAGATTCACACGTATCTGCAAGATATGCATAATATTGACCCTTAGATAATTAAAGACCACAAATCTTCAAACACAGATTATTTTCACTCCGCTGCACAGATTTCTAAAGTGTCTTAACAACAAAAGCTAAAAACCAAAAGGCTTCCGGTTGCCCCTTGGGGAACGAGAGCATTAACCAGGAGTTTCTACTCCTCGGGTGTTCTGGTTCTTCGGGGACCAACACTAGCTGACTCTGCTCATTGGAAGGTACTCAGAGCCTAGCCACTGGGTGTCTACACTAAGTACCCTGGGTACAGCAGGCAGTAGCCTGCTCATTTCCAAGTACCTTCCCAAGGCCAGCTGGGACTACCGGTATAGCAGGAATCTTTCCAGCAGCTCCGGCAGATGCAGTTCACGGATGGTTTGACGACACGCTCGGCCCAAGCACTTCCGGACACACAGGCGACAGAGCTGGGAGAGAGCAGGCGGGCCTGGGGAAGAAGTTACAACGTGTGAAGTTCATGGTGGTGGGGCTGGGGGAGAAGGGGAGACCAGAGGACCGGAAGAGGCTGAAATGCTCCACAAGCTGGCTCCGTGCACGGATCGTAGAGCGATGTAGCAGACGCTAAATACACACAGGGATCCCAGTGTGCCCCTCTGGGCGGCGACATGTTTGGGTGAGCCCTCCAAAGGTGAGCGTGTTAGCGATAGTGGGGAATGAGGCTAAGCAGAGGCAAGTCAGGAATGAAGCATGAGGCCTCAAGGGAACGCGCCTCATTCACGTATCACACGCGCCAACAAATGGGATAATACTAGCCAAGGAGAACCAAGCGAGGGACAGCTGCCAGGAGGGCATAAAGGCCTGTAAGGTCACAGAGGCCTCCCGGACCTCCTGGCTCTGGCTGCCCGTGAGGCGGTGCTGGCTGGGTCCCAAGTCATTTTCGGAAGGGCCCTCCATTCACACAAGGCTCCCAGCTCCATGAAGGATCTAGAGAAAGGACCCAACTCACTTAACCCCCATTATATCCCAAACCTCAGTCTCAAAGGGGCTCACGGAGTCATCACGCCCATGGGTTTGCGTGGCTGAAGGAAAGTGAGGAGAGCCCCAGATATGGCTGAATAGGACGAATGAGGCTTTGGCTGGAACGCTAGTTATACAGAGGCATTTGTAATGTCCCAGTGCTCCCTAGCCTCACTGTATCAGGAAAGATCCCTTCAAGTAGACCTGTGTGATTACCGGACTGCATAAAGTTGTCCTTCTCAAGACAATCCTACTGTAACAGGATCTTGCCACCCATGAGAAATGGGGCACTGCATATGCAAATAGCCAGATAACCCCTGAATTGAGGTTTCTAAGGAGGATCTATGTGACAGAGCACATAAGTGCCCTTCGTTAAAATCTTGGGAAGTGCGAGCGGAAAGCATCTCCACCTGTCACCCAGCCGAAGCTCCTCTGGAAAACAGTAACGCAGACAAATCGTCCAGCGTGCCTAGAGAAGGTCAGATACCAGAGTGAACTGTGACACAGCTGGTGTCCATCCTTCCAGACCAAGCAGCTGTACTTGTGACGACAGAAGACAGAAGCACCTGCTTAGAACGAATCTAAATCCTGGACCTGGAAACATCTTTGACGGAAGAAAAGAGGAAATGTGGCAATTGCCATAAACCATATTCTCGGCTAACAGTTGGAAAGGACCTGGCATTTCCAAACTGGGAGCCGGTAAGGAAGAGCAGAGTTCTTCAAGTGGAGATTCAAATAAAAGAGCAACCATTAATGACATCGACTATTGGGAATAATCTAGACCAGTGGTACTCAAAGTGTGGCCTCAGTTCAACAGCACTACCTGGGAACCCAGTGGGTGTATAGAGTCTAGGCCCCATCCCAGACCTCCTGAACCCAAATCTGCATTCTAATTAGATCACCAGGTGATTCGTACTCATGGTAGAACTTAAGAAGCACTGACCGAGGGATGTCTGGGTGGCTCAGTCAGTTAAGCGTCCGACTTTGGCTCAGGTCGTGGTCATGCAGTCCGTGGGTTCGAGCCCCGCATTGGGCTCTGTGCTGATGGCTTGGAGCCTGGAGCCTGCTCTGGATTCTGTGTCTCCCTCTCTCTCTGCCCCTCCCCTGCTTGTGCTCTCGCTCTCTCTCTCAAAAGGAAACATTTAAAAATTTTTTTAAAAAAGAAGCACTGACCTAGAAAGCATTCCTGAAATGACTGAACCGAGCATTCTACTTGGAAGGTATAGAAGACACGAGGGTGGTTTCATGAAGTGGAACTGGTGAGTAAAATAAAACCCTTCTCAACCAGAAAGTGTTTCAGAAGGTTCAGCGCGGGGCCATCATAACACTGAGCGCATGTTCTGGAGTCAGACTGCTCGGCTGGGGTCCTACTTCTCCTTAGCAGTCATATGACCCTCTGCAAGCCAGTATCTTTATGCTCTCTTGTCCTATCTTCAGCCGGGACAGCACCAGCTACTGCAAAGTGCTCGCGGCTTTAAAGTTTTCAGAATTCAGGGAGATTAATCCAGGTTTCAAATTTTTTAGCTCAGCGCCTAACACGTGTAAAACTGAATAATGACTATCACTGTTTTTAAGTTTATTTATTCTGAGAGAGTGAGAGACAGAGAGAGAGAACGAGCAGGGGAGGGGCAGAGAGGGAGGGAAAGAGAGAATCCCAAGCAGGCTCTGCACTGTCAGCATAGAGCCCGACGCGGGGCTCAATCCCATAAACCGTGAGATCATGACCTGAGCCGGAACCAACAGTCAGATGCTTAACTGACCGAGCCACCCAGGTGCCCCTTATTACCATTACCTTTAATAGTCTCCCAAGCATACAAATGATCAGTACAGGCTTGGATAATGTTCTCTTTCTGTATAGACTTAGCATGACTGACTTCTGAATTTGGAATGCAGAGCCTCTTAGAGACCCGCCTGGTCTCCTCGGGCATCTGTAGCTCCACTGGCCCACGGTGGAAAGGGGAGTGAGGCAATGGGGGGCACAGATCCGCCTGCTCCCTGATCTCGAGGGCAGGCAATCGACTCGGCCACCTAGTCCAGTGTCTGAAATACACACTCCGTGTCCAGCCTACAGCCTCTAACTCAAGTATTGCTAGCTTCCGCTGACAAATATTTCTCCAAATACGACAAAGCAGGGTCTTGGTCCACTCCGCTGGGCACTTATTCCAAGCCAGATGTGGCAGTTCACCTTTTCGTGGTGAAAAGAGTTCTCAGAGTATTTTCTCATCACGAAAAATACACAGCAACCTCCCGGTTGCATAAATGCCCTTCCGTTACAAGTGAACACATACGCCTATCGAATCCCATCTCGGTGACGCCAGCGACGCCTGCTGCCTCCCACATGCCACTCCCAAGGAGAAAGAGAAAAGAGGTAAGGAAGTCTGGAGATAAGACAGGGAGGGGAGACAGAGGATGGGCTTCCGGGAGAGAACTGGACACCCAGCCCTTCGTTACCTTCCCGGAGCAGGAGGGCCTGCTCCACACCGCTTTTTGGAGCCGCCAGATCCAACGCACTTTTCCCCTCGGCATTTCTGCACTTCAGGGGAGCCCCATAGTCCGCTAGCAGGTGGACGACTTCCACGCTGGACTGCCTCGCAGCGGCGTGGAGCGGGGTGTCCAGACTCTGGCCGCGGTCCACGCTGGCTCCTTGAGAAAGCAAATGACACGAGTCAACGCTGAACGCTGATGTGGGAATACGACAGGCCTAAAATACAGCAGCTGTGGAGGAAAGCATCTTGAATCTCATGACATGCTGGGCCAATCTTCGAAAATGTCTGACCCAAGCCTAGAGCCTCAGCAGTGGCTACTGAAACTGTTTCAAAGGATCTGGGTGAGAAGAGTGAAGAGAGACATTTTTAGGCACTTAAAATACGTTCCTTGCTTTTCCATACGAACCGTGCGACAGACAAAATGAAATACCTGCAGCGCCTTTTACGCAGAATTATTTTGTTTTTTGGCAAAGGATAAAGTTAAGATTATTTGGTACTTATGTTATTCCGGGCTCCAAGAAAAAGTTTTCTCAACTCTGACAGGGAGTAGTAAATGATAGGGGATGAAAAAGACAAAAAAAAAAAAAAAAATCTTGGAGATAAAAATTCTTATTTAAAAGTTCTTAGTACAGCCTCTAATGTCAGCGGTGAAGTTTGGGGAATCTTTAATCAAGTAATAGTTTCAAGACATTTTACTTTCCCCCCCGGACTCCCAGTGTCTGTATCTACCTTTTAGAATGAAGGAAGTTACTAAGTACCTTAGCAGGATTGATCTAAGGGAGTCTATGGCAAATGTCTGTTATTTTTGCTATCCGGCATCCTCCTGATAACCACACCTAGGTCTCCCTCTGAGGAACCATCCCCTGGGATTCCCGGCTCACGTGTTTCCAGGGAAGCCCGACAACTACAAGGTAGACTGAAATCTAAGCCAGTCAGCGTACTGTATTTCCTTTGGCCACCATGATTGGTTCAGAGATGGGCAGGTAACTCAAAAAGAGCCAACGCAATAAAATTCTTTTTTTCCCACTAGGACTCATGGGAAAGAGACTCTTGCTCTCTCTTGAAACCACCAAAGAGAACCATACCAGGTAAATGGAGCCAATACCAAAGGAAGTGGACACTCATTTCTCTGGAAAAGTTCTGTTTTAAACATTCAAACAGCAAATACTGTCAGAATTTTGTCCAGCCTGACAAGAACTTAGTCTTTAAAGCCATGGAAAACCAACAAGGTTAACAGGTTCTTCTCATAAAAAGATTTCTGGAAGTTACCTAATTCTAGAAGTTTCTTCACACAGTCTACCCTCTGGTAGGTGCAGGCCACATACAGGGGAGTTCCAAGCTGGGGCACTTCTTGGTCAATGTTAACGTTATTTGCCAGAAGAATCTCCATGCACTCTCTATGACCTGGTGGCACAAAAGACAACCTTACTCAAGTAAGGGAAATATTGACTATTTACAGAACTACAGAAGTGCTTACCTGGAATGGGCTTTAGAAGAAACCTAGCCCAGGGGCGCCTAGGTGGCTCAGTCCGTTGAGCGTCCGACTTCGGCTCAGGTCATGACCTCACGGTTTGTGGGTTCGAGCCCCGTGTCGGGCTCTG